GCACACACACACACACACACACACACACACACACACACACACACACAGATAGATAGATAGATAGATAGATAAAAACAATAAATGTAAAAATACATGAACTTTTCTCAGTTTAGTCACCATTACAGTGTTGTATAAAGTACTTTTTTGTTAGTATGTACTTGTGTTTTCAGTGTGTATACATAACAGTTGTTTGCTTCACTGTGTTAGTGTGTGTAAAGGATTCAATAAATCCCATCTGCAGCAGCAGTATGTCAGTTTGCTGGTTCTGGGACCCGTGCGGGGCTCTCTGTGCCTGCAAGGGTGGTATTACTCTGTCTCGTTGGAGTTCTTAGTGTCAACATGCCGTGAAAAGCCCTCATGCAGTGTGAGTCAGTGTGTGGAGCGCCTTCATATTGTCTGGTGGCAGAGAGGAAAACGCTGCATTTTCCACCTCATATCCCCGGAAGCACAAGCAGAAAGTCAGAGCTCTAACTTCAGAGTTCAGAGTTCTGACCCTCCAGAATAGGATACACAATGTAGATAGAAGGATAGATAAAGGTATATTTAGACCTGCTATTTGTATTATTTTGCCAAGTTATTAACTTTTGCATGCATTTCCCAGCATTAATATTATTTTTAATCCTAAACTAAATAATTAACATTGTTAAATGTAATCTTTAGCTAATCTCAAAATAAATACCTTTATTTTTTTAATCATACATACATTATAATGTTGTGATGACTAAATTCACTTGTAGCATTTAAAATGATTGATTTTTAGTGTAATAGCATGCAAATTTAAAAGAATAGTTCACCCAAAAATGACAATTTACTGAAAATGTACTCACCCTCAGGCCATCCAACATGTAGATGAGTTTGTTTCTTCATTGAATCAGATTTGTAGAAATGTAGCATTACATCACTTGCTCACCAATGGACAATGTTGGGCAAGTTACTTCCAAAATGTAATACATTATATATTACTAGTTACTGTCTTTTGAAAGTAATTAGTTACATTACAATATTACGGTCTCTGAATTGTAATGTGTTACACTACTTTTGAGTTACTTTCACCAAAATATCCACATTAGTATTATAAAATGCCAAAATGTAGTTTATTGCTGCTCATTCTACACCCAGTGGAGGGTAATGTGGTAGGTCTATATAGCATAAAATATATGAAATCATATTTAGATACCGGTATGTAGGTCTACATTAATGTTACGTTGTAGTTTAGGTTAAA